ATCAACTGTAAGGCATACAGTGAGGAAAGTTTTCGGTGCCGTTGCACCCATCGCTCAATGATCGCTTCGTCATCTGTAGTGCTTTCGTCAGGGACGAGCACTACAGGTATCGTTCGCGTTGCGGGTACACAAGAGCCACATCATTGAGCATGCAGACAAGTGCTATAAGCTTCCAACGGAATTTCTTGTGGAACCAAGAAACGAGCTTGAAGAGCTTTCCGTTCGGCAAGCTCATCTTCCGTTCTGGCCAGGGGCCCGATGGTGTGGACGCGTAACGATCGATTTACCGCGTTCTTCGCTTCCACAGCGGGATCCGCAGGGCGGAAGCCATATTCCACACGAGGGTCAACGACCGACCGTGGATGGGCGCGCATCAGAGCCGCCTTATGGGCAGCTTCCAGCTGCCGCCTCTGTGCCTCATCGAGGTCATTGGTGATTACACCACGTTCCTCAATTGACGAGAAGTCAAGGAACAGACATGGGGTCCCCAAGGTGCGAGCAGGTCTCGTCTCACGCAGCTGGTGCAGCTTGCCTTCCTTGTCACTCCATCCGGAAAAAGGGATGTCAGACCCGTAGACGACCACCTTCAAATCCCCAACGAGATCACTCGTTACCGTTTGCGTGCGCGGAGTGCGACGCTCGGTCTCATCAAGCCTAGGATTTACATCCCTCGATGATGCGGTGAGACGGTCCGACATGGCACCGTATGCGGGAGATGAAGCTGGACTCTGCCCGTGAGCGCCGTCAGAACCAGCGAGACTTGGAGACTTCGGTGTCATTGACACAGGGCTCATTGAACACGGAAGTTGTTTCGTTCCAAAGCAGTTCTAACGGACACGCAAGCTTCGTTGAGAGAATAATCGGTTAGAACTGTAAATGTTTTCAATCTTAATGGGGGAGAGTGTAACGGGGTTACACATACCCTGGTGACAGGGGTGTGTGTCACACCAGATGGACATGGTGGGACCACACTCAAACAAAAATACGGTACGGGGCTGAATAGCCAGTAGTTATACATGTATTTAAATATTTCTATATATATTTAGGAAAATCTATGCATTTCAAACTAGGCGGCTTTGCCGCAGATAGAAATAAATAAAGGCAGTTTTTTTAATTTGAACGGAAAGTTAATTGGCCTTGGGTTGAAATTGTAATTACTCTTGGAGTAAGCGGATCGCGATCCGCTAAACTCGTACTTGTTCTAAGTATAGAACGAATGGTCGGTGACCTAACTTACGCTACCCTCAAGCGCAAAGCTACGGCAGCCCCGCTGCAAAAAGTCAAAAGAAGACAAGTCCTGGTGAGCCTCGAACACCAATTCAGAATGATGAGTTGCAATTGACTTAGCCACGATGAGGATCAAAACCAAGCCCAATCAATTAGAACCCCCCGCTCTAAGCGACTGAGCCAATCTGCGGTCTAGTTCAGCACTGCAAATTACAAAAATCAATGTGCAAAATACAAAGCATACACTTATAAAGCATATTTCATCACATTTAACAGAGGGAAGGTGGACCTTTCACTTATTTTTCATCTATTGCTCGCTCTGAGATAAATTTCAAGCTGACTGACTCACCCTATCACTATATGTCGATAAATTTTGTCACAGCCTCGACTATACGTGACACCTTGCCTGTACGTTCTGCAGCGGGGCTGTGGAGCTATTTTGCTTAGAGAAAGCTGAGCTAAGGTTACCAACTTTACGTTATTTGCAAGAACCAGTACAAGTGTAGCAGATTGCAATTTACTTACTCCAAGAGCAATTACAACCTTAACCCAAGGCTTATTATTGATTCTTCTGTTTTAAATGTAAATTGCTTTTCTCGATTTTCTTTGCGGCAAAACCGCCTATATTTTAATTATATAGAATTTCCTATCTATACAGTAGAACCCAAAAAATGTATGACTATTCCAGCCACGTACTAACTTCTAGTTTAAGTGTAGCCACGCCATTGTGTGGTAACACCATCTTATGTACTCTACACCATTGTTTGGTCACACCATCGTGTGCGACCTACACCCTTCATACCAGGGCACGCGATACCCCGTTACACTCCCCCCATCAAGATTGGGAACGCCTACATTTCACATTTGATTGTCGCCTCGAACGAGGCTCGCATGTATACGACACCACAACATAACCAGAGCCTTCTTCACGAATCATCTGCTCAACGAGCCCTGTGTCGAGGCCCTGTGTCGGGTACACGGAAGACACCCAGCCTCGCTGTTTTCGAGAACGCCAGTGGGTAGATCCCTTCTTCGTCTCCTACCCGTGGTGCAACTTCGGACAGCACGTCCGCTGCTTCAAGGGAAGCGCAACCCAACCTATCGGTAACCGAGTACCGCGCAGCGCATTGTCAGCGATAGAATCGCACGACCAAGAAAACAGACGCGACGTCTACCCCCGTCCTCCACGGGCGATGGATTACCTCTTTGCGGATTTGGAGAAAGTCGACTACGAGTCGTTTCCAGGATGAAAAGAGAAAAGAGCGAGGTGCTTTAGCGGCGCGACATGAGCCCTGCTCGAACCTTGCGGACACCGTATCCTGTTCCCGAAGTCTCGACATCCGGGGGAAGTGGTGCCGCAATCTGTCTGTGTGTGTTCCTCCTGCTTCTAGCTCGGGCATGTTGCTTTTGCTTATCCCGACTCTCAGCCATAGTGCTACATATTCTATATATGCTCTCAATATCACCAAAATAAAATCACTGACTTTGCTGCAAAGTTAGCTGTGGTGACATCAGCAAGTTAACATTAATTAACAGCCCCCCTCTGGGAACGAAGACATATCCTAGTAGTGTCAAAGGCACCTGGGGCTTACCAAAACATTCATGCAAGTTAGGGTAGAGCGTGTAAAGGCATGTACTGCGTTATTCAATGCGATCCTAATGAGTGGAAGCAACTCACTTCAGCAACTCCCCTCTGCGACGTGTTTCACACTTTCTGATTTGCCATCAAGTTGCAGATCGTCGATAACTGACATACATTAATCGGGGTACGAAGCACCTTGATTAATGTTTGTCAAAATTTTGCTTATCTCAATCTGTTAAAGGATTTGCTAATAAGTCTGCGCTTACTGAAGAAGGTGTAATAACAAATATTGTAACAATCTTTAATGAAAGCAATGAATATTTAACTGGTAAAAAAAGGAAAACGATTTGTTAATGATACAATGAATACCGGCAAATCATGTTGACAAAACACTTTCTCGAGGAACAGCTCGGCTGTATTCGTACCGGCCACATTATTGCTACGAGCAGCGATATAAGTCATCTTGCTCATACGGTCTACAAAGTCCATCATGACGGTATTGAGATTTCATAGACGCTCGACCATCCAGAAGCTGGACCTGAAACTGGTTTTGAGCTCGAAGTGCAATGATGCCATCTCTAACGGCGCCAAGCGCTCCACCTTCGCATAATGCAATACACTCGTCTGAATAACGACTAGGAGGTGCTCCGACAGAGCACGATAGTCCTCAACACATGCAGCCGGCGCACAACGTGCTCCAAGATTTCTTGGTCCTCCTCGTAGCCGTATTCGACCCCAGCATGACGCTCAGCGGAGTTTCGATCGCGACGGACCTCGTCCCCAATAGCTCAAAGAGCATCGCGAGTCACCAGATGGCGATCGACCCAGTCGTTATTGTCTGCCGCCGACTCTTCTCGACGAGAATGGTGGTTCACAATCACGTGGAACGTCTTGTGGGTCGATGCCGTCGCCAGGGTCAAACCCAGTATTTTGTGAAAAGGCGGTGATACCCGACTTTGAGAGCTCGTAGGAGTTTGCAGTGCCATTTCGGCAAGACTGCCCAGACGTCGTGGACGCTTATGATCAGAGGGATCATGACGCTGCGCGTCGTCGTACACCCCGCGCTTCTCGGCAATAGCCAGGGGAGCCGAAGGGCCATGAGCTGAGCTCAAGCTATGACTCTGATTGCTGCGGTCGCATGATCATCCGTGTGATATACCACAGAGCTCGCGGGAGCGTGATGGATCAACCCATACGTCGCAGGGCGACAATCCGAAGATAGTCGGTGACGCGTCTTGATATTGGCAGACTCAAACAGATGATGGTGTTCCACGCGCGCATGCACCTAACTGTAAGTTGTACAGCGAGCCAGTGCCGCTGCATCCGTCGCTCAAAGAGCTCTTCGTTATCTCAGCAATTTTGCCCGGGATGAGCACCACAGAAATCGTCCGCATCACAAGTACAGGAGCGCTGCCTCTTTGAGCTCGAAGTCGAGTGCGGTGTATCCACCAGGATTTCTTGAGGAACCAAAAAGCAAGCTCGGATAACTTTTCGTTTGTCAGACTCGGCTTGTGTAGTGGTCGGAGTTCTGACCGCGTAGACACCCAACGATTGAGTGACCGCGTCCTTCTCTTCTGTAGCGGGATTCGCCGAGCGGAAGCCGTACTCCACACAAGGGTCAAGGACCGACCGTGGATGCGCGCACATTAGAGCCCCCTGCGGGCAGCTTCCAGCTGCCTCGTCGATGTCATTGGTAACAAGGGTAAAAGGTCGTTTATGATGCAATCAATTTATTTGCACATACCGTGTCAGCGGTCTGTTTGACCACGTTGCGGCCGCGCTACATCGTATCGTTCGCGGTTATAGCAGCGAAGGGATTGAGTGGTACTCGTAACATCCCAACGAATATGCAAACACATCATTAATTTTACGTGAAATAACTGAGGACATACCATAATCTTGCTTTGTCAAGCCAATGATATGTGAAGAGCTCTTTGTTGACGGAAAAACAAGGTTGGTCCATTTTCACGTGGAATGTTTGGTGAGCCGGCAGCGAATCAGGGCTGCAACCAGTACCTGTTGCAGTGCCTCCGTCGGAAAGCTCATGGGAGTTTGCGAATCCGCTTGAGCAAAATTACTATGATGTTGTCGCCTCTTACGTCCTTGCGCACCTTCGGCCTTTATCTTTCTTGAAAAAAGATACAGGATTACCCGTCGCGGCTTGCTTTCATTAGTTAGTGGCGATCGGCACTGATAAGGCTGTCTCATGAAGACATGCAGGATTGAAAATGGTAGAAGAATGTGGTGATGGCTTAGTCATTTTGATGTCCGCGTCGTGCTTGTATTTTACAAAGTCAAGCATGAGTCCAAGCGCTAGGAGGGCATTCGCCCCATTTAAGCTAGCTTGATAACCCCAAAGACGCGAGGTAATTTCACCATGTGCTCAAACTGAGCTTAATTCTCATCAGCCTTTCACCAGCTTCTGGTACCCGGAATATATTTTTAATGGAAAGTACGGGTTTCCCCGGCTGCTGCTTTATGCACCTAGAGGGCGGTGAAAAACGCTTGCAGAGCAACGTTATAGCGCTCCAACTTGCTATTGTTGTGACCTAAAATCGCATTGCGACGTGATGATTTGGACACTTTTGTGCTAGTGATAGAGCAAGATGGGCTGTTTAAGCCAGGATTATCTCGGAGACCATGTAGAACCAGGCAAGTAAGGATGTCATCGGTCAAAATTTGGGAAATTAATAAGATCGTTTACTTAGTTAAAACTTTGGTGTCCTCAAGCAGAGATCTCTGAGCGCGTCATTCGGGAAATTGCTCTTTTATACAAAGGCTTGTTGAGCCATTTGACTTGGTGCACGAATGGGAACTTCCGGTGCAAGGATGGTCTGAACATCGGGAGCGATTCAGTGCGTTGAGTGAATTTTCACGTGTGTTTCTTATGAAGCAGTCTTTTCTGTGCAGTTTATGAATAAACAGATAAGCGTGACCTCAATCTAGCTTAGATTTTAGTGATGGCGACGATACCGGGGTAAGTTTTGGTATCTCGTGTACATATATCTCCCCTATAAGTACAATTTATTTGAATACAGTATGGTCCAAATGTACAAAATTTGCATTGCACATTGGTGCAGTCGTGAACATTCAAAAGCTCAGAGATGCCGGTGTTTTTGAAGATAGTGGAACCTTGAAAAGGAGAAGTTCGAGGTACAAGTCACACGTCAGACAATAAATCTAGTTTTATTCAAAGTGATATTGATACGTATGCATTTAGAATTGGTATTGGTAGCATTAATTCTGTTTATATGAACTTCTGAAATAGCATGTGCTAACTTGACCTTCAATTACAGGAAGATTTGGTTTTGCTACTGATTGTAGCGACGGGCTTAACCACCGTGTGTTCACTGACTTTCAAAGGCCAAACTTTCTCGGTGTAAAGCTTACTGCAATTCCGTTGCAAATTCAGCATGGCCCTTTTACTTTCATCGTTTAGACTGCGACGTTCTTTCAAGACTAAATACGAATCGCTCAACACTAGCGTTGAGTCATGAGAGAAAGGAGTCGTCGTAAGTTTGTAGAGCAACATTGTGTTGAGGTTGGATGATTTTCTCTTCATATCAAAATCTAATTGTGATGTTTTGAGCTTCTTAATGCTCAATTCCCCCCATCGTATGTCAAATCGTAATAGTATCACGCTGTAGTGGCTGATGCACTGGTAAACAAATCATGCCCCGAAAAGAGCGTGTATCAAAGGAGGTGTAGGAAGTAGCAAAATACAGCTGAGAACGTGACGTACCGTAGTGATAAGGCGGTACCTGCGTTTGAGCTTGTCTTTGCTACGGAGGCGCCGGCCTTTATCGTGTGACTTTTGGTTTCGAAACCCACCACAAAGTACCTCTAGTTATGTCATGGTAGCAAGCTTAAAATAATGACGCCATTAAGAAATAGACTGACATTCAATACAAGCCCAAGCGTGGCTGTAGTGGCACATTTATCTGTTCTACGTGTCCCTCTGCTATATTTTGCGATCGTGAACGCGCCGTCGAGCGCCCATGCGTCGCGTAAGGTCGTATTGAAATGAATTCGGCTCTTAAAGAAATATGTAGCCAATACTGAAGCAAGATACAAGGCTGGTAAGGAGGTCGTGGGGCTATAGTATGTTTGGCTTGTGAAAAATATTATTTGGACTGTGTATTAATCACTCTGGGAAGGACACTGGAAATTTGGGCAGACCAGTTCATCGTGGCCAAGATTACGGCGATTTCTGTGCGTTGTACGAGAAAGGTGCTTAACATGGATGTTCTCTTCAGTCTAGACCAGAATTTCATCGTACCACGACTTGCACATCATATTTTCCCGCGCAGATTTTATCGTGCAAGCCGTACGATCACGCGAGATAGCTAAACGAAGCTTAGATGCTAACTTGATTTCCGCAGCAATGCAGCAAAGTCTTCTATCAGAAATTATTCCATTTCATTAAAAATGTTGTAATTTTTTGAGTGAGATGGACGAAGCAACCATGAGGATGAAAATTAGAGCTGCTAAGCAATGCAACGCTTCAATACGACAAACGCTAGTTCAGTAGAAACCGTTATTATCACATTCTGTGTTACGGTTGCAGCGAAGCGAAACGCCAATGTCCCGTCGATTTAACAAGCAGCCTAAGTTTGCGCGTCTACCACATAACATAGCGTGTTTTTATTGCAGTGAGCAGCACATAATTGTCAACTACCTCATGGCAACCGAAGCCGATAAATCCGAAATACAAATAAAAAAACGTGAACAACGTCAGTCGGACCAAGATGATAGAAAGAAATAGCAGCGAAGTCACCAGATGAACTTTTCACATCCGCCAATGTCTCTGACCAGAAGGCGGTACATTGTTGCTGTAAGGAGTACTTCATTTTCCGCTCTGGGCGGAAGTAAAGCAAAGAGGTCTAGTAAGAGTGAGTGTGTATTTGATCAGTTAACATAGATTTGCCGGGGGTCGAAAGTGTAGAGTAACAAGATTCCAGTTTAAAAGCAGTGGGTGGTAAGGTTGAGATATAAAACAATAATCGTGCAAGTCACGAAACGAACGGTGCCCGGGTCAGTTACAATCCGCGCTCCGGTTTAATTGTACTTGCTGGACATGAAGGATGAGATGGTAGCCTTGGTGGACATTGACTCTGATAGAGAGCTGGGAGTGCTTGCCGATGAGGTCAGCAAAATGTTTCGACAGAGCATTAGGTAGAAACAAAGAAAAATATGGTGAGGTTTGATTTTTAGGCTCAACGCTGGCAAATGGCCTCTGAAAATGACTCAAAAGATTGCAATTTTAAGAATGTAAGGTGAGGGAATTCCCATTGGAGGTCGAGAAATTCATTCTATTGAATGAATTAACAACAGAATTGTGGAACCTGGGTAAATTACGAACAGCATTAATCGTAAACGAGCTTTTCCAACTTTTTAGTATAAGAGCCAGGTATCACCAAGATTTGACAGATTGCAAATTGAATAAATAGTTGACGTATGTCAAACCCGCGGGATGGTCTCGGAAAAGGCGCAAGTATGTTATTTTTTTAGTTTTGTTGAATTTAGTTACGGGGGGGGTGGGCAGTAGAAGGCAAGGCAAAATGTGATGTGAATATTCTTTAGGCCTTTAGTTTGCAAAATGTCTTGCTCCTCATTTTATATACTAGGCTCATCATACTAGATTCTGATTTATCTAAGGCCTATCCGTGACTATCGTTCGTTCACGATTGCTTACCGTGCTGCGCCCATAATCACTAATCATATACGTGAGCGTATCCCCGTGACGCCATTCGCCTGTCCAACAAGCATTCAGTAGTGTAACCCCAAACCCTTTATTCACCGCTAATGCTGTGAGTGCTTGGGTCTGATGCCACTTGCTTGTAGCTGATACTTCAGTCACTTAACCCCAGTGTCTTGGTTAACATGTCAGCAAGCTGGCCCACCGCGATGAGTACTTCAACACAATAATTTCTCCGACCACGTTAGTCCGAATGAAGTGATGACGGATGTCGACGTGCTTATTCCTGACTTTTTTGCTCGCATTGCTGGCAAGTCTAATTGCGCTTTGGTTACTTTCATAACCCAACGTTGCTCCCACTTGATAGTGACCAAGATTTTTCATCATTGCACGAATACAGAGTACTTCTTCGTTACATAGGCTTTGCGCCACGTTTTCTGCCTCCGTCGAGCTCAGAGCCACCGTACGCTGATACTTGCACTAGTGCATCTCCAATTATTACCATTGTTCCTGACCTAGAGCGTCGGTCGTCAATATTAATACCCCAGTCTGCGTCCGTGTACGCTGTAGCATGTACTTCGCTGTCACTACCAAGGTTAGTATTCCCGTAATCTCTTGTTGCCTTGAGACTCCTGAGTATAAAATCGCAGCCCCAGTGCTGCTGACCCTGCTTTTACTGAGAACGAGACAGCTGCATGACCACATATGCCACATACATGTTGTGATGTACAACATACATCCTATCAAAGACCTGTATGACTTCGACTGTTCTTCTGCTTTCTGGGCGTCCGTCGTTTGAAATAGCATTTTCAACAGCTTCAAAATCGTCTTACACGGACTCGTCACCACCTCAGCATCTTGCTGTTCAATCTGACCCACCACGTCGTCTAAGTATCGAGTCTTTCGAATCATAAATGTGCTGTAATTGCGGTTATGACCGATCTTCATACCAAAAATAGATTTGGCCGTACCCAGACCCTTCATCTTGAACCATTTCTTATGTGGCGCTTTCACATCCTCAACTTCCTTGTTCGTCTTGGCGCCAATTATCATATCGTCGATGCAACGTAACAGCACACGTCGACGTATTTACCGCTCTCACCCTTGACGTAGACGCATTGATGTGCTCCATTACTTCGAAATCCCATACCGAGGAATACAGCATGAATCGACTTGTTGCGTGCGCTTGAAGCCTGCCTGAGATCATAAATCGCCTTTTCCAGCTTGCACATCATGTTGGTGGCGTTTCCATGCAGACGTCTTCCTTGAGATCACTTTTTGAAACTTTGCGTTGACATCTAGCTGCTTAGTCATGTATTCCATTGTGACAACCACAGCCAGCACGACCGTAATGGAGTTCGTGATCAAAACAGATAACTAGGTCGCATAACGACGAGTCGACCTTTATAGCGCACAACCTGTTTGAGCTCATTGTGATTCTTTGCAAAAACTCATCGACTCTTCTACTTCGGAACAAGAGCAAATGAACCACTCTCTTAGTGATTCTTTAGCTCCACGTTCATCGACTTCACCCATTCCGAAGCATCCTCGCTGTTCATGGCTTGGTGATACGTGATATGAGCATTCATCAGCCTCACTCACGTGAGTAGCTAAAGCCAGAAAGGCTTTCGCGAGTAGACCGTCTTCATCAATTCGGTATCTCTTTGGTGATGGCGGCCAGATAGGGACATCGTTGTCCGGGTCGCTGTCGTCATCCACTTTCTTCTCATCGGCAGTGGTTAAATCGACGAAGTGGTCTCTTTGAGCAACGAAGTCGCTCTACTTCTGGGCGAAACACATTTTTTTTGTTTTTCTTTGGCTCTTGCACTCGCTGGCATATTGTCAGCTCATTTCCGGTAGATACAAGCTCATCTCCGGTCTCATATACATCCACATCAACATCAGCATCAGCATCAATATTTTCTGCTCTCAGCATGGGCTCATCAACCTTGACTTGTGGCATTTGTACCCGAGCTTGACAAAAGACGATGTAACTAGGTGTATGCGTGACCAAGCATAAACCTAGTTACATCGTGCTTCGTCACTTGAACAATCCTTAGCACCTACACCATTTCGGTGTAGTAAATGCTGTTCACCTCGCGGTTATCGAGCTTTAGTGCCACTTTTACCTTTCTTGAATCCAAATCATACAAACTCTCAAATCTTCTCTGGGTATCCAAGAAACATGCACTTGGAGCTCTTTAAGCCAAGCTTTGTCCTCTCAGCATCATCAATATGGGCGTGACACTAAGATCCGAGCAAAAGCAAGTGTCCCAGTTCCGGCTCCTGCTTGAAGTTTAACTCAAACGTTGCGCTGTTCGAATTCGCCGTGTTCGTTAAGCGGTAAAATATGTACATCGCAGTTCTGATTGCTTCCCTCCACGACTTAAGAATATATCCCTCGTAGAGCAGTATAATCCGGACCTTTTCCATAATCGTCCGATTCATTAGATCCGCAAATCTGTTTTGTTAAGGGCTGTACGGCACGGAGTGTTGACACATGATGACGTCGCTTGCACAGATCTCAGCGACTTTCTTGTTCACGAATCTCGTTTCGCTATACGATCATACCGTCATCCTCGTTGATTTTCGTAGAATGCCTTGAGCGCTTTCAGCTTGGTGTCCACCACACTCTTGTGCTTCGTGTAGTATGCTACGACACATCGCGAAAAATGATTCCAAAATGTCAGCACATACTGTGCACCACTCTTTGAGCCCGTTTTCATCGATCTCATCATATCTGTGGTTACGAGCTCTAGCACACGTGATATCTTCGTAAACTATCGAGAGGGGAACGAATCAGCCGTCTGCTTGCCCTTCATGCACCCACAGCACAAATTCTCCATGCCTTGCTTCACCGCCGGCATTCCGTTAGTAGCGCGCTGTGTCTTAACAAAACCGTTCTTCCCGTAATATCTCAAGCAAGCGTGCCTTTGCTCCCACTCACTCTCAATTTCGGCATTCTCCACCAGCCGAACATTTTTGCTCACAGTATAGAGAAAACGCCTTGCCGAGTTTCTTGCGTTTAACAATCGCCCAGCTTGCGCTCCGAATGATACATAAGGAATTCTGAATTCTACCTTCATGCAACGTGTTGCCAGTCCACCAACCGTGCAAGACCTCGACCATCTTGATTTGCAAGCCGTCTAGTCTAGTCTGTCTTGAGCTCCTCTTTCTGACACGCGCAGCTATTGCCGTTCACAATGATGGCCTCAGACCAGCGTCCGGAACCTTTTGATCAAACAGATCACTGCGATGAGGTGTCATGTGCGATGTGGTGCAACTAACAATGAGCCACCCAGCATCTCGTTCTTCACCCACGACAAAAACAACTCCATCTTCTTCCAATTTGCCCCGCTCACGGCAGTCCCGCTTGCAAGGTCTAACTTGGCCACACTTGGTGCACTTGCCCTTGAATCCATCGCCATCCTTCCGCGTGCCGATCAATTTGCGGTCGCTGATATCGCCACCTTTAAGACGTCCAGCATTCACGACCCGAGGCCCCCTTCTTACTTCTTTAGCAGCTTCTTTTTCAAGTCAAAAGCGCGACGTCCTCGGGGTTATTCACAATCGATGAAATAAGCTCTTTTTTCAAGGACAAGCGAGTCGGAAGAATCACGAGCTGATGAGCCTCGTCAAGCGCCCCCCAACGTCTGCAGTCCCACGATCAGCTCATCAGAGCTGTCCAAATGCATCGTCATCTACACTTTTCTCCATCTTGAAATCATGGACACGGCGGGTCTTCGACACTTGAATGTGCATTGTCGAGCAGTTGAAGAAGTCACGTAGAGTGTTCCATGACATCAGTGCCATCGTGACCGAACAAACCTTGGTGTGGTTCTCCATCGCCACACCCTAGGTGATGAGTCCAAGAGCATTCATGTCATTGAGCACCCACGCCTTGGTCATCTCCGCCTCAGAATTGACCACCTGTGCGTGCGCGAGCAGACCCTTCCTCGCCAGCGTCATGCGCATGGCAAACTCCCAATGAAAACAATTCCGTTACCCTGTAGGACTTGTCTTGTCTTGGTTGGCATTGTCGGATGCATTGTCGAGGGTATTATGCGGCTGTTAACCTGTTGAGTTGTGGTTGCGGAGAAGTGCGCAGTAGAAGGTGAAATGTGAAGTGAATATATTTCAAGTCTTCAGCTCGCGAAACTGCTTGCTACCTCGAAGCTTCTCACTTTATATACCGCGATCACTTTTCTTGATTCTACTTTATTTAAGGCATCAGCGACTGTCATACCATCGGCAAGTGCTTTCCGTATAGCGCTCGTAATCACTGACGATATACGTAACCGTATATCCTTAACGTCATTCGTCTGTTCAACACGCATTTAGTGATGTAATTATTCAGCTTTTATCACAAGAAAATCACTTATTGTATTCGCCAATCTTGCCAAAATAAATACACTGTTGCCCTAGAGCCATCAACAAATTGTTTCAGCACGGCATGGCAAGTTCCCAAGGGAGTTGCGATGCCGCTGTAATTTCCAAACAATTATTACCAGAATTGCACAAACTATCATTGGTGCGATAGATGACCTCCTATTTTGTGCAGTAGATGTTAGAACGTCTATCTTGATTCCGAAAAGAACAATCGAGGTACTAGATCACTTAAGCTTTAAGCTGAGCGTATCGAAGTCAAGTTTATACAGTTGGAATATTTTATTTAAGAATCTATTTTTTTCATCATAATTAGATAAGCGTTCTTCCCGCATTTTTATCATATCATTATGCAGTTTTCGATTTTCTATCTCGTTTTGATATTCAAATTGTTTTTTTGTTTTTCCATTGTTTTATATGTTGCATTATATTAAAATCTAATTGCTCTTTCTGTATTTTCACACTAAAATATTGTAAATAACCTGTAAAAAGAGAACCTGCTGTAGGTGGTCAAGCTGTGCAAAAAGATTATTACCAGTTCTGGTATGACCCACAATTTAGAACTAATCAAAGCAACACGAATTATTCCATATATTACTGATGATTGCGAGGGACAATAGTTTCTATGTCTATCCAGTTGTCTGCATGAGACGCTGTATAGTGTGCAGGAAAACAAAACTTTTGCATGAAAACTAGACGTGGTATTATCTGCCGCATTAATAGAAAAAAGCATGTCATCTGAAATTGGTATTGAGCTTTTGAAGAAGCGCTCATTGGCTCAAAAGGCAAGCTTGGCTAGATGCAGTGACGTGCATCAACACTGACGCATCCAGTTTCGGTTACGTCATCATTGTATGTCAAGTACGAAGGCAGCATACTGGAAAATCAGTGGAAGAACAGCAGCATGAGCTTTTGTTTTGCCTAAGTGGTATACTTACCGGTTTGCAACGTAAGTGAGGTGTCATAGAAAAATAATCGTATTCGATAATTTGTATATATGGTCAATCTAGCTATTCACATTAGAACCACGACGTTCCCGATTATTTGCAATCACCTGGATTTAATCTACCTTTCAGCGCAAAGTAAGGAAGTCAAAAAGTACATCAGAGAAAGAGAAATTGGTTGCGTTAGGAGTTAAAGATACGTTACCTCACCGAGCATACAGCAGCTATCAACAATGTGTGGGCTGATATGGTATCGAGGTGGACTGGTAATTATAACATGACGTAAATTTACGAGTTATGCTGCTGCTGGAATGCGACCGGCGTAGGAAGGGGGTAGATAAAGAATCCATAGTAAGCGACAGAGCAGCGAATAATGCTACTACAATGGCGGTAAGGCTGTTCGATGACCTAAACTTTACATGGTCAACACTAGTGGACTCAGGGGTAGCATTAAAAGCAGCACCAGCAAATAATCTAGGCGACTCGGGTATGGTTCGGTACTACAACGGAGACTGTGGACCCCAGAGGCGGCTTTAACTTTATGCTTGTTGTACGGTGTGTCATGAAGGGCAAGTTACGATGACTAAGCAATTTTCAAAGACATTGGTTGGGGGGCATTTGTAAATAAAAGCTGATAAGTGCTCGGCGTCAAACCTATTGTGACATTCTGTGAAGAATGGTAAAGTGTGCAGTAACCGTTGGATGGACCACTGGGTTGCCACGAGCAAACCGAGTCCTACACTTAAATTTTCCAGGCGCTGACTCGTTGAGATGTAATAAAAGTTGCGGCGGCACACGACTATTTATTGTCTGATGCCATGTGCGACCCCGCTCGATTGGCACGCCATTGCGAATGAGTAAGGTCGGTATTCCAAGAGCAAAGTATGTACAAGCAATGCGAACAAATGGTTCCGGTGGCTTAAGCTGCTGTGTCAAAAAAAATATTGAGCTTAGGAACCGTGAAGTGATTCGACCGCTCAGAATTGTATATTACGAAATAAATTATTTGGTACCGCCGGTGAAATAAGTGGTCCAGTGGAATCATTTTGTACTCTACTGTTGCCAAGCCCACTCGTTTCTGTGCAGACTCATAGCAGAGACGATTCCAGGAGCCTAAGAAGCAATCCGATTTAATATCGCACAAGCTTATAAGGTTCCGGCTAATGTAATGTTTGGCAAATGCATCGCGTTGTGGTAAATGAACGTGATTAGTAACTCGAAGGGACAAAATTACGAAGAATATAACAAGAAAGGCCAACGTTGACGTGAAATACTTTGTGCTGAGTTCTAGAGTAGGCGAAAACACCGGAACAAGCACACATTTTACTGTTTTGGCACTACTCGACGCAATGAAACCATCTAACACCAACAGCGTTGCTCCCATGTGAAAGGTGCACAAATGTCCGTTTCTTGTTCTTACGATGTGACTCCATTTTCAAATCGCTGGCCATGGTATGTTTGCTTGCGCGTCTGGAATCTACAGCCGACTAATTGAAGACGGCACTTATCTCACCAATTTAAGGCAAAAACAGTTTTAAAATTTTGTGCTATGGAGAACCAAGTACTTGATTTTCTCAATCCTGGGAAGTTCGTTAACGTCCAAAAATTCTGCTGTCGATCTTGACTATTGTGTTCGCTGAATTCATATTTTTTCCAGCTTGGTGATATCTTTTAATTTTTCGAGCCCAGCGTTGATGCGATGGTTACTTTTGCCTCCGCAAAGTAACCATCGCACCCAGACATGACTCGCTCAACAGAGAATAGATTGTGAAAAGTATCGAAAAGTGCTATCCAAATTCAGCATACCTATGCACTTTATCAGTAGCGTTGTCATTGTCATGATAATGTCGCCTATGCCCACTGCTTGAACGATGCCGTCGTCCGACAGGTACACGTCAACAGGAGACATAGCCTTGTAATTTTCATGTAATCTTTCGGGTGCGGTATATACTGCGTCGTATTTGAGTTGACAAACCACATACAGCTTGATTTGGTAGTGCATTCTTTCCCACCAACTCAAAATTGATACTCGCCAGAATAGTCTTTTCTTTGTGCACCCTCTGCAAGCTGGGATCGTTGGCGCTCTGCGTTGTCTTGAACGCTTGCTGGACATTTTGCAATGCAATGTCCATGTTCACCACAGTATTGATGCGCACTCGAAGTCTTTGCATGCGAAGAACGTCCCTTTCGCTGTCCGCCGTCTGTCATCGCAAACTCTTGGCCTTGACCTTCACAGTACCGTCCATTTAACTTCCTTGTTTCTCGCGTTTCGTATCTTGCAGAAGCCGTGGCGTCACAAATTTCACACCAGCAAGTCCGATCTTGAAACCATAGCCGTGATGAGAAACGCAGGTCACTCAAACTTTCAAGAAGCGTTAAATGTCATTCTTGGTGACTGCAACGCCCACTGCATCAAATGCTCCACCAGAATCTTAATTCTGTTTATGTCGTGAATACATCATCACCTTCATTCATCTTAGACGGGAAAAATGATGACGAACAAAGAGCTTATTTGTTAGGCTCTTCTTATCAAAATGAGCTTCAAGGCGCGGCCATGCATCGTACGCTTCTCTTCCCGGCCACACCAGAGACAGCTGCGCGTCTCCATTGCCAAACAGATGATTGCAAGCGCTTCTTGACTTGCGCTCGTACGTCGACTAGTCTCGCGAGGTCGTCAAATATTCCCACTTGATTAACCTACTGGTCACGCCTAATAGGTCTGGCTCCTCCAGTACCATCTGCATCTTGATTATCCAAGTTGAGCTTTGTTCTGTCGAACATGTTGGTGCGAGGAAGTGGCGGTAGTAGCACCAAGAAGGCAGAGTTTGGGCTTAAACTCTTCTGGATAGGCAAATGCGTATTTTATTGGTAAAATGCAAAGTAAATGCAATTGGGCCTTTATTTCGAAAACTATTAGCTACGCTAAGCCTACTTACTGTATGTTCTAGCAGTTTTCCCAAGGCTCGCTTTGCCCAATTTCACCTATCGTAGTATCAAATTCCATAAAGAGTTAGATCATGCCCACCGCTCCACTTGGATCATGCCATCTTCTTAGCTCGTGATGTCACAGTAAACCTGCAGTGAAAATGATATTATGTTCCGATGTCTATGTCGTCCTACCATTGTCATATTTACTCTGCCGTAGTAATATACAATCTGGTAAATGAAAAGAGCGAGGAAACATAGGTACTGGCTAGGTAACCCCCACTGAACACTTCACACAGCATGATTAGCCTCTGTCTCATAGTATATTAGAGCCCATGATCATGAAAACGAAGTCGCAGCACCTTAACCACTATGCCAATCTGAGTTTGATTTCTTTGCGAGCGAAATTTCTTGCTTTTATACGTAAGATAGACATATCGCAGCAACATCGTACTTCAACAAAATGTCAAGTGGCGTGATCCTAACCGGAACACAAAATTCGGCTGTGCTGCCACCTTAAAAGCAAAAGCATTCGATTACCAACGACCTCCTACCGGTCGAGGCGTATGATCAACAATAGTAATATAGAGGTTGTCTGTTATTAATACCACCGACAGGGGAAAATGCGCTAGATTGTCAACTTCTTTAGAGAAGTTGACAATGGCACGTAAGTCGATGAAGTCGCTAAAGTTTTATATTTCTTCTTGATAAAAGGCACTACTCTTCATCCCGCATAAATGAGTTTCTGGTTGATAACTTGACAGACCACAGAATGCGAGGATTGAGGCAGCTTTGCTCGAGCTCCAACAGATCCTTTTTTTGTTAACAAAATGCTACGATGTGGTAACATAGAATCACCACGCATGCTACCCTTGGTTGGGTGATTGCTTCGTGAAATTTCCCTGTCCCCAGGAACCATCCACGGCGTCACATGTTCATGGCCTTACTAAGTGAACAGTGTAACGCCTTCGACGTTTTTTTGTAATAATCAAGAAGCAAACTTGGTGATGGATAGCAAATCTTCCCTCTCGGCACCGGCTTGATAGTGTCAGAAAGGTAAATGGCGGTAGCGAACTGTGCTTGCTTGTTAAGATAGATGCAGCCACAGTCTCAATGCAAAAACCACCTTCTAGAGAGAACGTGCTGCATAACAACATGGTCGGTTTCACTTTGATGATAGCCTCAGATTTAGTTGATGGCAATCATAACCTACTGATGGAAACCGGTAATATCTTTCACACTGCAAATAGTATTCTAATTGGATACTTGTGTAGTGACTGGTCATGCCACATTGACTGTCTAACAACCCAGCGGCACTCAATTACTATCCCGCTATCCAGGCCATATTTCTTCGAAGCAAGAACCTTTCTCCGCTCTCTCGTAAAGGGCTCGGGGCGCTGAATATAAAAAGCATGATTAGGCATCTGCGAGCAGGACTTGAGTGTATCGAACTATTTGTCATTACAAACAAATGTGTATCTGGTCGTGACAAGATCTCGTTTCTCGGTTAATTCATTCAAAAGCATTGCCAGGAGGTATATTCACCAAACAAAAAGGCCATTGTAGACCAGCCACTGCCTCTTTTGCATGGATACTTAAGAGAGATGCTTGGCCCGGTCAACAACTTGCACAAGCATAGTGCAAATCATGCCGACATGGCTAGCCCCCCAACAGTCTCTAAAAACGATGGTAGGACACAGCAGGCATAAAGCTTCATTCGGGCTACGATTCTGGATCTTTGAATCCAGATCGGCCATTTACGTGACACAAACGCGTGATCCTTTGTAATATGCCTCTACTCCAAGCAGATGCCGCTGGACATAAACGCGTAATTATGTATAAGACTTACTCGGCAAATAAGAAATACCAAGTTTACTGCAAAATACTCATCACCATTGAGATGCGATTGTAAACATCCAAGTACTGTAGATTGACTCGAAGCCATTTGGGACATATACAGATCAGTTGTCGTTGCGCGCGTTGATGTCGTCACCACATCTCTCACAAATAAATACAGGATGATGAGTGTCTTTGCCGAGAACACATGCACGTTAGAGTATATGCCGGGTCGATATAATGCGGTGGCGAATGCGCTCGCGCGTCGTCCCGACTATAAATTATGCATGTTAGATCTTGACGTCGCTAATTGATGAGGCGATGCGAGTAGCGTACTGGGCAGACGAAACATAGGTTGCAATGCTAAGTGATTGGAAGTATAAATTTTAAATTATTGGATGCCGCTTTATCAAGGCACGTGACCGCACCTTTGCACCTCTTTGCCTTTCCCAAGGCTTAAATCTTTTTTTATTTGACCTACTTGATAGTCAGTGTATGAGGCTGTCTCATGATAAAAATTACAGGTATAGAAATGTTATATGACGAACATGATATCCTTTTGAGCGACCACGTTGGTAGACAAACGACATACGGCTCAGTGATGGCTATGCATTGGTGGTTCAGTATGTAAATTTGGGTAAGTACATACCTGCACACATGTAAAAAGGCTAGATTTTTGCCGAAAAGCGGCACTTACGGCGTCCGCCAGGGATTTCGTCAAATTGTTGACTGTCCCTGAGTTTCGGACACTTTAAATTAAATACATTGTTTTGCTACTTCAGCGATACGTAAACGGTAAAGTTACAGCCGAGGTACTCCAACATGTTAGATCGAGATCCACTCTTTTCAGAGTAGTCTTTGCAAACTTGGCTCAAGGTGCTTGGCCAAGAGTAGGCATATTCACCACGGATAATTCCCATATAAATGGTCAGACAAGACGCAGTAATTGCGTAATTCAGGATGTACCCAGCGCCATGCACGTAGAGATCGCAGTGATGAGAACCTTTCACTCGTCGAGTGTGGGATCAAATGACACAGCGCATGCATCAACGTGCTTGAACAACATCCTTGTACAATATTTGGCTTACTTTGTGTCATTTCATCACCGCGACGAGGTATTTTTGGTCATGTGGGAGAGCGGGGCTGCCAATAAGACTCGATGCGCTGATCTCAGCCAGTTACATTTCATAGCAAAACCACAGATTTTATCCTTCGTGTATAGAACGTCATGCGCTGAATGTGCACCAATATTGCGGAGAGACCAAACATCCAAATGGCATCGATCAGATGTTAAAGGCAGGCAAAACATACATGGATATGAAAGGTTATCTAAATACTGTTAGCGTACCTGCATTAGCAGTATCTATGGTCTACAAGACCAATTTTTGTACACACTTCACCAGACTCTTCACAGTCATAGCAGAAAAACGACTGAGTTACACATCGCATCGCATTTTCTAGGCAAAATTAATGCATTCAGAGATTCTATCTACCCGTCAATGGTGGCGAAACATTGCAAACGATGTCCACGAGTTGCAAACGTTAATCACCGCGATGACGACAGAACCTTTATCGGGGGCGATTACAGCCACCGAATTCCAGGAGAGTCCCTGATAGGTGCGGCTAATACCCAGACATCCTGCGTCCACTCTACCTCTTTTGCAAAAGCTGTGTGTCGCATTTAATGCGTAGTAAATCATTTCACGCAGCGAAGACCAACTCACGAACAGGGATAGGGAGTAAGACCAACGTGTCAGAGGCGAGAAATCAATGTTCCTGCCGAGTTGTCCCCGAAGTATCCACAAATTTATGTGAGGTTAATCCTCTTTTCGCTTATCTGATAGGCATGAAGAGTTGATTAATCACGCAAGGTTGTCGACCGAAGGCTCTTAATTGTTATCAGCAATGATCCAGCTGTGTGAAATTGTAATAAGTCCTGATAGATTTAGGAGCGTCGTGCAATCACGTAGATAGCGCGAGTGTCAAAAACAGAGGATAGTACGCGGAGACATGGGAGACACAAATAATCTGGCTACAATATCTGTACGTATTACGACGGAGACACGCTGAAAATTTTCTTTATTACTCCTGTGAAAGTTAACGACATCTTAACAGCGTGGAACATTATCGTGTCTTTAACCGAGAGAATAAGTCGATCTCAACCGAAGTACAACCTGGATAAAACACCGCAGGCCATGAACTGGATGAAAGCCAGAAACGTTGGGTGCCACACACCCTTCTTTTCAAAGATGTATGGTAAGCCATAATCTAAGTTCTGCTCAGAAAGAGTAGAAGCGCTGTCCATGCGGGCATGAATTTGCAAAACTTCGGGAAAAAGTTGGAATGTACAAACTTTTTTGTAGAGATATTGATCAATGTGTTTTACAGATTTCAAACTGCGATCATCGAAGAATAGTTCCAGCGAATCGGTGAATAGCAGCTGTAGGATGAAGTCTCCGCGCAGAGACGATACAGTTGAAGATTGACAGTAATTCGCAACGCGGAGAGACCAGACCCAGAAACCCAAAAGAATGACTGATTCCATTTACAATATAATGGTTTCTCTCAGTCAACAATACTACGTGATTGGCCATTTTTGAGGTGCATTAAAAATTGACGGGTTGGTGGCTTGAACATCCACGGGTAGGTGGTGAGAACGATTATTCACTTGCGAGTAACAATTTTGGCAAATCCGCACTGTGGAAGTATTCCCCTCAATGCTTACGACAGATATTTTTATTGTGCGAAGGAAGATGTCTCAAGGTGTTTGCAATGATTATAAGACGGTAAAGTTTATATAGATGTATAGCTGGCTGAGTTCTTCACCCGTCATGATTGTGTTCATCTTATGAACCTCATTGATTACTTAGTGCAAGAAGTGGCACTGGTATCCTGGTGAGAAGAAATCCCTTCACCGGCACCGAAATTCTGTGTCAGAGCCACTTCTATATCAAAGAGGCTAACAGCAAACGGCGAATTGTGCATGCTTATAACAAGCTTCTTCAGCCACTGTTTTGGCGCAAAGTTGATTCATAGAGAAGATGTACTGCGAAACAGCACGGTCGGTCAGCCTGGTTGATGATAATCTCAATTGTTCATGAGCAATAGCGTCATCCTTTTTACCTCGATTGAATCTCGATGGACTCTGTGGAGCTAAATCGATGTCTGACCGTTAGCTGTTTGACCCCTTCAGATGCTTGGCTGCCGCATTCGGACCTTGCACCACCACCAAATTTGTTATGCCCTGACGAAAGGAGTTCACCAAGCCTCTCCTATTACTCCATTCTACCTGTGGCACCGATTGGGTAGGAACATGATTGGACTACGCTCCTGAGTCCAAGCTTTCCATGCCAGCGAAAAGGCCACTTTTGATCGTGATCAAAGATGTTTGTGATTAACAAATTTTAGCGATGAGCCTTGTTTCTTATATATAATGTCGCTTCCTGTAAAAGTGTGTCTTGCTCAAACCTTAAGCATAACCTCCAAAGCAATTTGTACAACAAGTTTTTTTATGACCAGGGGGAAATTTTCGTTTGGTTTTGAGTATAAGCTTGAAGCTTCGTTTTGCCCATTCGAGGGAGAAGGGGTAGTGAGGATCTGATGTGTCGTACTCCTGTAGGAGTAGCACATAAATTTACCATGACAATGCTGATCAACCTAGATATAACACTCTTCGTAAAATGATTTGGTAAGGTTCATCTTCTCTGATATGCGTAGAGACCCCCATCTTCTACATGCCAAGCAAGAGCTTGAAGTTGTTCACAACTATAAATGTGGTTACCGAAACGATAATTGACCTTTGCGAAATTATTGTCCCGTATTTAACGCCAGATCTACTGCTCCTTCCAACTTCCGACGGATTTAGGATGCCTTCGTAAGCCGTTTCCAGCTTGTATTTTGCGAATCCACACCCGGCACTTCTTTGTTCATGTAGCAAGTAAAGATAACACCGCACTTAGGATGGCCTGGTCAGTAACTCAGTGCGCCTCGTATACCGAGGAACCGTAGTGCGTACGCGCAATTTCGGGAGACTTGGGCTCTTCTTCAAAAATCAACGCAAATTTAAACGCACAAACTCCGAACGTTCCACCAAGCACTTTTCCGTCCACTGCACACAAGTTTACGGCGCGTTTCGATTGAGGAAGGCGTGACACCGAGTGGAGGTGTCTCAACGAACCCTCAAGAAATCGCGCTGCGCTTCATTGAGCATTGGGGATCCGAGATGGGAGATGCCAATAGCCCGACTGTCTCATTGAATGCTGCCGAGCAGCTTTCGAGCGTATGTCTCGAAGTTATTTGTGATCATGCCAATATATATTTGCTATTTATGGTTTGATCAAAATGAATCTTTAACAATGTCTCCTCTCGAATCGACTATATTGCACGTCTTAACGCCTAGTTTGCATAGCATGCACAATTTATTTGCTATTACCAACTTCATCGCAATGTAAGATGGTATGTTGGTACTACAAACATACTGAAACACCACTCGTTTGAAAGCAAAATGATAGTGAAGAGTCGGTTTTGAGCTCGCAACGTTTTGACCAGCTTCTTAAGCGTTTTTATCTTTATAAATTCGACGACGAGACCAAAAATCACTTTTCCGAGCTCGCACCGACAAAACGTGGTTTATGCAGCTTCTTGTGTGTCTATGATAAGATCGTATACTCAGCCTGAATATAAATAGTACTACTGCTTCGTTTTAGTACTACAGCCGACGTAACCGCAAGTTACCATGAGAATTTGTACATCCTGTGGATATACGTCCGATATGTATTTGAATTGCATTGAAGTATTACATCCTAATCTCTTGCTACTAATATAAGATGCCGTGTGTTGGAATGTTTGATCTATTTCGATTTGGCTAAGTATTTCCGCGGCAACTACGAGCTTGTACGCTTGTTCATTACGGATTCCATTAAGCAGCTTACAGCGCTCAAAACCATACACCTGACTAAGCCTTTCCGTGAATCCCACCGTCGTCGTTCAACTATAGATAGGGGTCAGGGATGGCCACACATGTGGCCAACCACAAGCGCAAATGTATTTGGATGGTATCTCTTTGGACTACAACGCGTCGTGGTAATGACTTTGTCCCATCCTATGTTGTTCTTCGCCTGTGAGCCTGAAACTTCCGAAAATGTGAAGAGCGGCTTGGGGCTCATAAGTTGCTCCAAGAGTGCTCCCCGACCTTGCAGGTTGTCTCATGAGTGTCACAAGAAGCTAAAGCAGCGGTTAGGTGAATAAGTATTCTCTCTGGGGACTGTTCCTATGGTACTAATAGAATAGGGTACGCAACAAGGTACATAACGTATCATGTATGTTTACGGTACCTCGAACTCAAGACAAACGTCAGAGGTATCAACAAATGTGACTAGAATTATTTTGGAAGAGGTCCATAGGAATCGTGGACTGGTAGCCTCACTCTTTGCATTAGCTTGTATTATTGAAGATCGTGAAACAGCTATGGTATATATAAGCTTGAGCTAGATCCATTTTTAAATGTATGTCACACTTGAAGAAAGAATAGAAAACAAAAACCTGATTACATTTACAGTTTCTTGGTTTCGCACCTGGGTGAAGCGTTTAAATTAACCTGCGTGCTTTGTTCCTGCGGATTCGTTAAATCAAATCATCCTTGCGCGGCAACCCACTGCACTTGGTAGCATTTGTCGTCAGGTCGACGGCCAGCGTATTAGACTTCATCCTCAGTAAGATGAAACACGAGTTGTTTGACTATCTGTCCTGTTGATAAGTAGGCCCGCTTATACAGCTCATTGCTTTGGTTGACCGCGGTGATATATAACTATCGGAATTCTAAAAAGCCAGAAGCGGTAAGCGCTCGCTGGAGACCTCGTCAGCTGTAGAATACCGAGGGTGAAAAATGTGTAGTAAATCTCAAACTGGCGTCAATAATAAAAGAAACCATCTCTACCGCGTACTTCATGTTATAAATTGTAGAAATGGAAATAAACTGCATAAACAGCTCTTTACGGGCAGGAATGACAATAACTTCTCTTTCTGAGAAATAGAGAAGCAAAAATAACCATCAATTCGGCCATGATTGATACTGTACATCAGCGCGTCGTGCTAGTGGCTCCCAAGCTACGAGGTTGCGCACGCATATGAACCTACTGCATGAAAGTGCGTTCTTCTTTAATGTAAAGTTGTAAAGCGATAGATATCGCGGGACTTTCCGCTGCATGATTAGGCGTTCGGTTTCGTCAACCCGTCACAAAAAGCAGAATCTAGCCATCTATGTATAAGTCCAGAAGTCTCAGCGCAGCAATGACGACAGAGCCTCTTTCGAAAGCATCGGTTACCAGATTCTTACACACCTAATTTTGCTTATCTTACGCAGCCAAAATCTTAGCCATTTGCCAAGAAAGGGTGGAGGTGACTCTGTCCAAGAGTGAACGATTTCATATCTGAGATGTCCTTTTCCGATATCGGTAACAGCTCAAAAACTTCTGTGCAGCGCTCGAATCAAAGAGTCCGCGCTCACAATAGTACAGAGATTTGGTTCATACGCTTCATCAAGATACGAAATCGAGAGCCTTTACCGTTTCAGTCGCCAGTTGCCTAGGTTGCTCTGCTATTTTAAGAGTTGAATTATTTTCTTTGAGGGAATTCTTTATTGGCGTTTTGCCGGATCTTACAATAAAGCCTGCATTAATCAGATGCACCTCCTTTACAAATTGAAACCATCTTCATATATAACCGATTTTCTTAACCTATGGGTATTTACAATTTCACATAATATGTACGTTTCGTGCAATGGTAGAATATTAATTTAATGGTACTTATTCCGTTGAGACTAGGTACCGCCTTTATTTCATCCAATGTATCTGAAACGGAATCAACTTACACTTTAATTCATGCAAACAATACCCTTGCCTTGTGCGTTCTACTCAAGCCCGTGTTACGATGTCTTATGACCATACTACTGCGAGATGGACTGTTCAAAACACAGGGGCGATTCAATAGGCCATCATGAGAGCAAGTCTCAGGGGTCGTCTATATCTGGTTGTGCTCGATGAGCAAGGTAGATCTCACTATATTCTATGTTACACAGTTTGGGTCGATTTTTGCACCAAAGGTATAGCAAGTACCCATAAGAGAGTGCTTGGAGGCTGAGATCTCATTTCAACAAGATTGTCGCTTACAACTGGCACATAATCCACCATCACTCCCCACTAGTTAACCACAAGATTGCGCAGCACAACGATTGAAGACAAGTCTTATCACAAATCAAGTCTGGCTGATAGATGTACCTGCATGGGCAGGTGTGGAAGAATGAGCAGAGTTGTTGTTACCACAAATTAGAGGCTGGGGCAAGTGTCCTCTCGACGTTGATGTCGCGTTTTATGCTAGCAAAGTGTAACATTTAATGACGTTTTGTCGCATATATGATTTGATAAATCCTTGTTTGTAGAGCTATATACATTTTATGATTTATTCGATAAAGGTCGCTGCAACTCATGTGTTTATTTACAGGAAATTGGGCTTGTTGATAAGCAAAAGCTCACTGATAATACAAATGAAACTGAACTCATCGTCATCACCTTCGTGGCGGTTTTCACCGCTCCCGTATCGGGACAACAGGCATGGTGTGCGCAGCTCATGAGAAGGTGGGCGTAGGATGCTGTCGACATCAAAGTTCTATTGATGCTTCAATCAAGAAGTGCAAAGTCTTTGTCATAAGTGCTACGTCTCATGGCGGCTTGTCATCCCATGTGGTTATAATTTGTATTTGTTCAAATTTTGACGTGGTTATGCTCGTAGAGCTAGCTCTAAAACGTTTTTACTCTACCCATCGTATAAAGGGGACATTGATTGCTACTAGAAAATCGTTGTGATCAAATTGCTCGGCGGAAATGGTCTGTGACAGAGATATGTGTGATGCCGACGTGTTTCATGTTTTGGTGGAGGTAGCTCAATGAAGTACGTATCCTCGGTGCACAAAACGCTTGTTTGGGAGTTGATTTAAGCAAAAAAAGTGTCGTAAAAAATAGCGTGATAAATTACTTGTACTGGGAACCAATGCAGGGAAATGCATTTTCATATGGAGATGGCCGTTGAACATGTGAGTTGCAAACCACACGTAATACGCTAGCTGAACTGTATGGTGATAGAAAACGAGGCGAGTATTTTCGAAAATTGGTTCGTGTGGTAATGGATACAAAAACTTTGATTTTGGAATCAACGCACATGTTCTTTAGCTAGCATTCAATACTGGACACTTGAGGAAGTCTAAGTTCTGCATCCGAGAGACAATTCCTAAATATATAAGGTTATATCCTTTGTGAGAGGTGCACGGCGACCCTGCCAGTTTTATCAAAGCGAAATCTGTGAGCTAATGTAAGGTTTGTGCTGGAAATACTCTTGTCAACCGTAAAAGGATGATTTGTGAAATCCCTTTCAAAAATTGACGGTATGAAGTTATACATATCACTCTGTGTATCCCGATGCAGACACCCTCATCAGAAGATAACAAGATTTTCTCACTTTTATCAACATGAAGTGGTGATTTTTAGTCGCTAACTTGATACTGAAAAGGTCTAAGCTGGTAGATTTTTGTGAAACCACATAAAAGGCGTCAAATGCTTCACCGTTGGCAGTATGCACTTTCGCCTCTGTACTATAGAACGGCCGAGAAACTAAATTGAACATTTGTTCGAATGTGCAGATTAGACCACGCTGCTTTGTCTAAGTCGTACAGATTCATGATTGCCATTTTTGGTTCGTAATCTCGGAACACACCGTATCTAGTTTTAACTAAGAGAAAATTACAGTTGGCGAATTGAATTTTTCTCGCTGTCACGCAAAATTTCAAGTGACAATAAAAAAGTCTGCTGCTTGCTCGGGCATAGAAAAACATTGTTTAACAAAATGGAAGGCAAACGCACACTTACAAAGTCAAGACGAGCAAATTTCTTGGTCCGGGAATCACAGCAAAATATCAAGCGAATCCGCCTTCCAAGAAAATAAAAACATAGATCAAAATCATCACGGTCAGACAAATACTATTACGTGGAAGGATTTGAAATTCTTATACTTTAAGCAAGACGGCAAGCCACGCGAACAAAACTAGTTCCTTAAAGTTTACAAGCCAGAGGGTCAAGCTCATTAGTAAATTCATGTGGTTTCGCGTCAGCGCAAGTTTTGCGGCACGCACCATACCTCCAGAGGTAGAAAGGCTGACTAATTTCAAGTCGGTAATCATAAAATAAAGGACACAGACAAGTGGCAAAGATCTCACTTTTGAAGATTAGTTAAGTTGCATGTACACGGCCCGGACGCTTGTACCACCGTCATACTGTCGCAGCGCAGTTAGTATCAAAGAGGGGTCTTACGCAAAGGAGAGAATGCTGCAATCATCAAGAGGTTTATCGTGCATCTTGTGGAGGAAAAATTACACGTAAGTATGACATCAATTGTGAACAGATATGACTATCTGTGCCTGCGAGCTGGGTAGATTAAGACGAATGGTGAGATTATGCTTGGACTCAGATTCAAGGACTGAGCATTTGATCACTGCGCAATACTAAGATAGATGGATAAGATATTATATTTAGCTGTACACGACGCTGATGATTTGAGTTTGCCAGCAGTTGCGTCAGGAGGCTAGAAAATATAGAGCTCATATTTGAGGGTTTAGGATGTCCGACGAGTGCTATATTAAGTAATTATATAATATAAAAATCAGACGAGATGTGGCAAGCGGCACGGTGGCTACAAGAAAGATAAGGATTGTATGTGATATCATAACGAAGCTCCCGACGACAAAAAAAAATATTCAGATGCTGTAAGCTTTGTGGCGTGGTGTCCTATCAGTTTCTACCGCAGAGCGGATGCACAGCTCGAGCAGAAGCGGGATGAAGCTTGTCGCCCCCAGAGCGAGAAACCACAACAGTTGTCGTTATAACTTTGCATTTTGTATGCATCTCTTTACAGAGTACTGCATGATCATGCCCCTTCTTAGGTGCCGCCTTCTAGCTTGAAGGCTGCAAGCGCGACGCGCTGTTACTCCGTCCAAAGAATGACCGATATATGACCACCTCAGCTCTTATCGTCCCATCAAGGACTAGCTGGAACATAGGGTCGCTGTGGGTGCCATTAGAGAAGCGAAAAGTAGAGTAGAAAATAGATTCGTCTTACTACAGATATCCGGTCGGGACGCTGCAGGAGGTCTCTCAACAACACATTCTCATAGCTAATGAATACGTTCAGGCGAGCGATTACCGCATCTGACTCATTGGCCGCCAGTTCCCTGGCCTTGTAGGGGCCAACAATTAACATGAGCGTACCAAACGTATACAACTGTCCTAGAAACAGGTAAACAATCGATAGCTGGTCCATCGTCACAAAAATATAGCGCTCGGTCGTGAAATTGAATGCAAGTGTTCCAAGCACGACGGTGTTATTGTGCAGTTTGCACCGAGAGAGTTTTGACTATTACAGGTAACGCAAGAGCAGGTTGGTCCGCTCCCACCATTTATATGGAATTAATGCTATCTAAAATTAGATCACATTTATCTACGATGATAAATATGTTTGGGTTTATTGCCAAAGGTGATACAAATAGAAAATATTCGCGAGATGTGATACAATTGTGTTTTAAACACTAAAAATACGAGACCTAGTAAAATTACCGAGTATACCCATTCTTGGTTCACCGTTACATTGAATGTGTGTGCCATATTATCTGCATCGTTGTAGCATCAGTATCTGATGTGACCTTGTTTAGTGACTAGTTTGGACTGGATTTTTTATGACTTTGAGACGGTGAATCTGAGCGTTAGCGGCCTAGTTCCAAGTTGCGAGGTTGTGGTATGGGTAGCTGCATGATGTGGTAATCTGCTTGTGAATTATGGAGGAAAAATGATCCATTCCATTTTTTGTTCATTATTAGTACCGATACTTTAGAACTGATGACCATATTAAATTTACAAAAGTAAAATGTGAGTTTCGGACAATTGTAATCAGCTTTGTCCGACAATTGTAACCAGCTTTGCTCACACGTAACCTTACCAGTAGCATGAAGCCTATACACAAATTTTCAAATATGCTCCTCGATTCCAGAAGTCATTGATTTGCTAACTTTCGGCGGTGCAAATGACCTTGACGTTACAACATAAACTTCACTCGGTAATTTTACCAGGTTTCGAATTTTTAGTGTTAAAAACACGATTGTATCACATCTCGCGAATATTTTCTATTTATATCACCTTTTGCAATAGCCCAATATGTTTCTATGTTTCGACTTGCCCTGCGTCACTTTTTGGCGGGGTTCTTCTTCATAAAATTACCGATACTTTAGTACTTGTGGCTATTTACAATTACAGTAATTAGTTCCCTGGATACGCCCCTTGATCTTGACTGCCTAGTGCAGACTTTTTCAAAGGTTGCATACTCAGCGAATTGTAGTCCTCGTCTATCGTTTATACGATTTGCAAAACCAAAAAATGGAACATATTTGCATATTCTCCCGCCATTCACAAGAAGGAATGAGGTGAAGGGCAGCGTCTTAGTGAGGCCCAACGTTCAGAAATTTTTTAGGCGATGGAGTTGCCGGCCAAATAAGATCTTCCATAGGTGCATGCGAGAGAGTTTGTTGTTCATGACGAAATCATTGCTTTACTTTGGCAGCAGCAAAGAAGTAAAATCTCGAGTGAATAACATGGGAGTCACAACGCAAAAAGATCATTGGACTGATAAACCACAGCACAAAGTTTTAGAAGAAAAAGTTCACGTGTGCAGATGTAAATCATATATTTCTTGCAAGAGGACAGACAGTGGATGGATGAGGAAGCGAGGAAGCGAGGAAAGTATGTCAAGGATATCGTCTCGGTGATGGAGAACCGCATCGTGAGGTTTTGGGTTTGGATGAACTCAAATTTGAAAGGTATCAATAAGCGGATATTAAAGACACTGAACTTCAATGAAGAACTAGAGAGGATGAAGTCAAAACAGGAAACGATGAGGTGTTGTTGGAGGGATAAGTCGATGTTAGAGAAGAACATATTATAGATTCAATGCACGACATTCTCTTGCAAGTTGTTGACCTCGATTCAAGAATTTGCAATCTACCAGAATCACGAATCTTGGTTCAGAACAAAATTGATAAAATGCTCAATAATTTGATATCGGCAAAGGATTTCGCACAGCAAGCAAATTCGATGGCTTAGAAAGAAAAATGTGCTGAAAGTCGGCAAATGATACTCAACGATTCCGGTTTCACACAAAGTTTTCGCATATAAATTTTGTTATTTACAGTGCAGAATTATCCGCGGGGTGGGGTATATATGCTGGATGTGGTTTCGTTGTTCTGGCGGTGTATCGTAGAATTTTGTCGTTTTTGTGAGATTTTGAAGAATCATAAAATATTGAACGGTCAATTGGCCGAGCGGGCCAAGGCGCCAGTTTAAGAATCTGGCTTGTAAAGGGCGTGGATTCGAATATGCAATGCAGACAATACGAATTTATTCACAATGCCAGCTTTAGAGTCTAACGAAATCAAGCTGTATCATCACAACGCTCGCAAAATTGAGCCGGATTATAAGGGCTGCGATGAGTCAAAACATAAGTTTGATGATTTACAAATCAACTGAAGGCCAATGAATACTCTAAATAAGCCATATGTATCAGGGCCCTGCATGGGTCGGTGGGTTGTGGGTAACCCACGGAATGGGTCGATTCACCACTCCAAAACTGCCCGTGGTAACCCACGACCCAACCCATGGGTAACTTAAACTGACCCACCGACCCACTGAGCCTTCAAATTCTAAGAAAGTCAATTTAATTTAACTCCACCACTTGATGATTTTCACGGCAAGTTTAATCCACCCGTCAGCACTGGGACGGCGAATTACCTGCAAGTCAACCGCGATCAAAGTCAACCGCGATCAAAGTCAACCGCGATCAAACACTGAAACTTCAAAGAGGGATTGCATGTTTCGCGACATTGCGATGGAGTTTTAGGTAATGACTTTGAACAGCACAAATGTTTATTGATCTGCGTACTCGGGTCCGGTGTCGGACTCTTCAATCTCACCAAGGTACTTCTCGAGAAGGTCTGGATTGTCACA